AAAAATAGTGAAACATGAAACAGGTGGAATTTGTTATTTACTACAACAGTGAAACAATCGAAATAGAAGGTGTGTTGAATTTAAGGAAGGAATCTCTTAGAATTTTTTGAAGAAAAAAATATGAATGCTTTTTGGTTAAAATTTTGCATCCATTTTTACTATACCTTTCTCAAGTTTCATGAATTTTTTCAGTTAGATTCAATTAGGAATACAGTTTTCACGATCCAAATAAATAAACATAAATAAATAGGTAAAGAAACAAAAACATTTTGAATATCAAACATTTCGGACAAAGAATTTATGCAAAAATATTTTAATACTAAAATTTGAACGAATGCAGATATTTTGATTGCTAACATAAGGGATCATTTAAATTTTCTAATCCAAGCGTAAATTTTTTAACGAACATGATAAAACTTGTAAAATACAGATGTGTATGAATCTTTAATCAAAGAAGGCTATTAACCAAAGGACTACCAAGAAATTCAATTACTAAATCAACTACGTTAACAATTTATCAAAGAAGCATTTGCATCTTTCCACTGATTCTGAAGAAAGAAATGAAGAATGGACGACTTTGATTCATCTGATAAATCTAGTGTTAAAACCAATCGAAATAAAAGACGTACACGATAAATTCACGAAAAAGATACAGACATAAATAATGCTGAGACAAACGAAAAAGAAATAAGAGAAACAAGTAAGCAGTTGAAAAAGATAGTTCCAATCGCGTCTCCTTATCGAATCCGATTCCCATGCTCGTCCCACGCAGCCACCCTAACCTTTTCTCCTCTGCCGTTCGAACCGCGCACATTCTCCCGTTTCCACCCTGCCCGCCTCGAATCTCATCCCCCGAGCCGGCCCGACCCGGAATAAATCAATACACGTGTCTGCTACTTGGTTGTACACTCGGCTCGAAGCCTTGAGCCCGAATTCCGAGGAGCCGAAACTTGCGCGCGCGTTCACGGTCAGGAAAAACAATTCGCGGGGGTGAGTTTAATTAACTCGAGCTGGGGCTCTGCCTGACAGCGTAGTCGGGACGTTATCGTCGGGATATAAAAGCTCGGGTTTTGATTAAGCTAGCGATTGTTCAATTACCGCCGAAAGTCGCGGGCGCCTGGCAATCGTGACTAGCTCGACAAATTTTTAATAGAGCTGAATCGATGGTCACTAATTTCCCTCTGATTCGAGTGAATCACATTTCGACCTTTTTGGGGGAACAAGATGGGTATTGTTTCTAATGATTCAATGTTTTTGGTTTTTGGTTTATGATTTGGATTAGGGATGGTTTTTAAATTCAGCGTTTAACACGTTTATACTAAGTACCAAATTAATAAATTAACATTTATTATATATGTTAATGTACGAGTATATTAATATATTATATTTGATCGCCTGAAAATGAACAATTTAGATTTATGTTCTACACCTCCTAGTTTCAGAAATATTGTAAAAATATTGTTTTCAACCCTCAACTGTAAAGAGTGTTTTCACTCGTTCAAAGTGGCTGTTCACCGATAAGAAAAAATACGTGTCAAATATTTTCTTGATAACTATGTCTCACATAAGTTCCACTAAAATCGGCGTGTGTTGGTTGAAAAGGTTTCCTTGTTAGATAGTGGAGACAATGACGATATGTACAAACATTCTATTTATAAGGATTTCACCCTCCTCATGCAACCTCAGTTGTTTTTTCCGTGAATGATTCATAATTGAATCTGGGAATGACGTGTTTTTATCTTACCTAATTGGCGGCAAATGTCAGCCTTCAAATGAGAGGGCAGAGTTTTCTCTTTGAGCAATGCCTCGTAATGCTCCTTGGCTAGGCGATATTTTCCTTGGACTTCGTACAGGTGGGCTATGTGAAATTTTACTGAAACAGAAAAATGGAATTGACATTTTAAAACAATTCGTATGGAACTGCAGAGCGATATTAGTTCTAGAATATGAATAACCAATGACAGCGAGATGCCAGTTTATGCAAATTCATATTTTTATAAACGGATTCCAAAAAGCTAAAGCTGAATACTAATTTATTTCGTTCGCGTGTGGTTTCAGTACATCATGATTAAAATGAAACTGTATGAAAATTCAAGTTCATATTTTATAATTCCACTTTCTTAGATTATTGTGTGTTACAAATGAAATTCCAACGTCAATGAAAATAAATACAAAATTTTAAGAATGAAATATCGATTAGACCACAAATATCAAATATACAATATATATATAAATCGAACAAAGCAAAACACTAAATAACTGATATTTGAGACCTATTCAATATTTCATTCTTAAAATTTCGTGTTTATTTTATTTATATTTATTTATTTATTACATATAATATATATTATATATTATACATATATAATACATAAAATAAGTACAAAATATATTATATAGTATACAATCTAATATCTTAATACATTCGCATCGTGAACCGATGACAACGTTTACTTTTAAAACACGAGAATTCACGTTTTCCGATGCGAATGTGTTAAGACACTAGATTATACACTCCATTATATATTAATTGCAAAAATGATTATCGAAATTTCAATACACATGTGTTGAAATATCTTTATATCATTAATCTTTTGTAGTCCAGAAATTGTTCACTAAAAATACTCAATATTTTGTAATGAGATGCAGGTGACATTTTCTCAAATTGATTTGACAATAAATCGCACATACGTTGAGGAAGAACACTATTTTCTGTCAATGTTTCATGTATTGATGCATTACACAAAGCTTAATAATTGAATATGAAACTTCACAAAGTGTCAAATCAATTTGCAACTGAAAGGCACCTCCGGAGTACAAGGGGTTAAAACACCCCGCTTTAAACGGAAACGATGACATACGTTTACTTTTTTAAAAAATTCCCTACACGAAAGTGTTAATAAAACTCGGAATTTCCATAAACCCCCACCACTGAATTTACAACTGCACTAGATAGACCATAGTTCGAAGTAATTAGGCAACCTTCCATAATTTCGCGCCACTTCCGAATTACACTTCCCGGCAACTTCACCGATGCTTCCCAACCGCGTGACTAACCAACGCGCGACTGACCTGAATGTAGCGATTGCTCGAAGTGTATCACTCGCACAACTTCTAGCTGGATTAAGATGTGAGAGTGAATTTCTCGGTAAGGAAAGTATTCCAGAAACGAGTCAGGTGGGGAACACCGTACCGTTCGAAGTGATGGATCATCCACCGGAATCGCGGAATCCTCGATGCAATTAAATATTGACACAAGTGTAAGTATCTTTTTTCTTTTTAATATTTGAGTTTATTTCAACCTGTTAACTGCGGAATTTAGTTTGAAAAATATCTGGTTTTGCGCGCAATAAAATGAAAGAATAAAGTGTGCACTCGTCAAACGCAGGATGAATGCAGGTAGGGTATATTCTAACGGAAAACCAAAGGAAAACAAAGAAGAATTACATGTTTATTATGCACATTAACAGTAAAATCATTAGTAACCAGCTGTATAAAGTTGCATAAATGTTTGTCACGTATAAAAATAAAAAAGGGCAATGATCAAACGAGTTAACACACTCACGATAGAGCATGTTTTTACATGGTTGATCGTAGATTCTAATGGTAAAGTAATGTTTGCAAGAATGAAATTGAAGTACACTCTTTTGTTTACATATTTAAATCTACGATTTTAGTTACCAGTTCTGAGTGCAGATTAGTAATTTAATAATTTAGTTAATCATTAATGTGAATTTATTTTAATTCTGTAAATTAGCTGTGTTCCGGTGGTACATGCTAGTGCGACAATGTTCAAAAATTGTATGAGTGTCGCAAGTTACAATTAATGTAAATAATATTGAATTGTGATACTGTAGATAGCTATACATGTTTCTGATACTGATTAAAGTACTGATTAAAAGATTTCTATAACCAATTTTTGTTTTTATAATAAATTCACTTTGAAAATAAATGCTCATTCTAAGTTTTATGAATCCAAACAAAGTACCAAAGTTAATATACCCAACAATTGTTTAAAATAGATCAAATTTTTTGGTACCTTATAGGCACAGAAAAATTGGCTGTTAATTATTATAATAAAAGCAAAGAATAATTCAAAAAAATAATAACAGCGAAAAATAAATAAAGTAAATGATAACAGTGAAAAATAAATCAAATAAATAACAACAGTGAGAAATAAATCAAATAAATAACAACAGTGAAAAATAAATCAAATAAATAACAATAACAATGGTAATATCATAGTGATACGAATGTGATATCTTTGCCGTGATAACGGAGCCTCGTATCGCATTTTTATCTCTGTTACTAAATTTAGATATTAAACAGTAAAATTTCTTTCGCCCGAGTGTCCACGTGACTCATTCATGTCTCATGGTAATCCGAAGTGACGCGAATAAAGCTATACAGCGGCATGAAATCCCGCCCGGAAAGAGTAACGGAGATTCCCGTTTTATTAATTAAGGCTTCAAGGCTCGCTTTCCTCTCTCCGAATAGCACATTGTTACTCAACACATTATAGTACGCCATGTTTCGAGCAGATAACAGTATATTATAAAAGTATAACATAAAAAATATAAATAATAATGTGTATTATACAGGGTGTCCCACAACCTCTGTCAGAGTCCAATATCCTTGTTATTTCTTACGATACAGAAAATATTAAAAGTGCTAATTATTCAGTTTGAGAACACATATTATAATACAAATAATTTTTCTCTTAATACTTTAACTGCCAAGTAAACATTCATCAAAACTTTTATGCGGTCGAAGCAATGTTCTTTATGAAACAGAAACCAAAATGTCAAGATTTTACATAACGATTGTTTTATTGTTTTTCTTATGTCTCGTAAAAAAACCTTACATCCACTTATTGCATATGTGTACTATAAATACAACTTGTTTCAATAAACAGTAATACAATTGTTGTTAACACTAAACGTACCGGCACTTTGTACACATCTATTTCTAAAGTAACGAGCTGAACAACTGAGTACAAAATAAAAGCAAACAAGTTAAATGAAAAACTGATTGATTAGATAATATAGGAACTGATATAAAGTTAAATGCACGAAATAAAGTGTAGAATTTTAAATGAAATTTTAAAACTTATCATTTGACCGATCGCGATAGATTTAATGTTAATAATAATTTATTTCTTATCATACTGTTCAAATACTTTCATCGCCAGTATATAAGAAACATTTCTTGAAATTGAATTTCTCGAATAATGTTCCTGCCAGAATAACCGTATTGTGAACGAAGATTTCCTCGATTCCGTGGTCGTGTGCAGATGACACGCGGACAAAGTGTTAAACGGGGCACAATGCGCGATAAATGGTATCGTTGTTGCCCGTGACGTAAGAGCGGCTGTATCACGGTTGAAAAGGGGGTCAAGTTCGCGGAAGAAAGTGAGCAAAAGATCCGTGGCCGCGATGCTGTCAAGATGTTGCGCGCAGGTATGCAATAATGCACTTTCCACGCCACGAACGATGTATCGATTTCATCGCGGCTCGCTAAACAATATGTGTGCACGTGAAAATCGCGCACGCGAGACCTCGTCCTGTTAATTTTCTTCTTATCGCGACGTCGATGTCCTGAATATTTCTTAATACACGAACTTAACACGCTTCCTTGAGATGAACGCAATCATGAACTTTGCGTGACGTATTATAAGTTTTAGGTATAGCTATTAAATATTATATTATTAATTACAGTATATTATTAATCATATATATAACCGTAATTCTTTTAAATTTAACCATGATATAGTTTTCACTTTGCGTGAAGAAGGTTGCACGTATTTTTATTTAAATTTAAAACAGTTACGGTCAATGATCTGTATAATATAATACAGTATAATTTTCATTTTGCGCCAAGAAAGTTATACGTACTTTTGTTTAGATTTAAAAGAGTTTTAGAAGAATATACGGCCGAAACTGTCCTAGAACAGTAATGCGTAATATTTATCGTGTTTAATTGCAGAAAGTAATGTATTTTGTCTATGTTAAGAACAGGTTACACTGCAGACTTAATTTTGTCCTTGAATAGAACGTTCATGTCTTTCTATTCTGATTACTTGTCTTATCTTCGTCTACTTTATTTATTTACCTCAGTCACGGTTACGTGATCCATATATAGAGCGCGATAATTTTAGATAAAAAGATAATAAATCTCACTTGGTCGAGGATAACAAGCACTACAAGTATAATTAACCTCAAAGTCATTTTGAAACTAGTCGAAGGACATTACGTGCTGTGGAAACGTAAACTGTTTGTTAATGTTCTTAAAAAATGTCATTATCTTGCCATAAACTCAAGCTTACATGTTCAAACAATGGACATGTTATTTCTGTGTTTTATAATATTAAGTCGGATTCACGGTGAAGGATAATAATTTCAAACTGAGTCGACAAAATTTTTTCAAAGTTAAAATCAAATAAATATTTAATATATTTTCATATATAATAATATTTCATATATAAATACAGGTTTATAATGCATATATCACATCGGCCAAGAAGTTTTATCGTCTCCTGAATTGTATTTAATTAATTTTATTTTAATTATATTTAAATATACACATAGCCCAGTTAAATTTGGATACGTTATTATTTCATAATTATAGAAGAAATGCGCTACATTTTTAACGTTCTTGGGTTTACTTCCATTTATTTTAAAATTTCGTTTCTTCTCACTGATAATATCCACGACAAAATACGATTGAGAATCGTTACTTAGAGGTTAATGTTTAAAAGATGACAAAGTATAAAGTTACAATCATTAAAAATAGAAAAGTTACCGGAAAATTCAATTCAACGGTCTTCTTTCTCTCTATTTATTTCCAGTAACATAGAAACATAAGTCTTACCTCATCTTGCGCTACTAACATTCATAAACCATCGGATGTCTCATTACTCTAAAAAAAACCATAAATTGTCACATATATGCAAGTGTATAAACTAATCCTTTAAAGTTTCGTTTCATTACAAAACTATTATAAGATAAAAACTTGAGAACTTCCATTTCTAAAATCTTCATTCCATAAAAATAATTAAAATAACAGAACAAAGACGCATATGGAATTCCACCAAGATGAAAACATACCAATACCCAACGAACAATCCTGCCCCACCCTCCACACTTTCATTATCGCTTCTCTCTATCGTGTTTTTTGAAGTTTCATTACATTAAAACACTATTGTAAGGTAACAACTTCAAATGTTCCATTCCTAAAATCTTCATATTACAAAAATCAACGAAAGCATAATTAAAATAACAAAATAAAGACCCATATAGAAATGCGCCGACATAAAAACATACCAATACCCAACAAACAATACTCCCATCCTGCCCCACCCTCCACACTTTCATTTTCGCTTCCCTCTATCGCATTGTCAACGCAGACAATACGACACGTCTCGAAAACGGATAATACTCTTTTTCAAGAACCTACACAAAAGCACCATACCCGGGGGCGACGCAGCGCAGCGCAGCCCGGCGGTATGACTCCGTTGTAAATACAGGCCACGTCAAGCAGCTGCCGATACGTTATTTTCGTTGTGATCGCGACGCGTAGGAGAGATACGTCGGAGACGCGGAACGAAATCGAGACTCACTTTCGAGCTTGGAGAAGGAAGCAGGTGTCGTGGCATCGATCAGAGCGAGTGTCAGGTGCTTGAGGGCGGCGTCGAAGTCAGCGTGGACCTTCAGCATCAAGCCGAGCCGTAGGTGAACCTCGCAGGCCCGTGGAAATCCTGGCTCCACCCATAGCACCTGCTGGAATGCTTTCACGGCCCTGCGAACAGACAAAGTCACTTTTATCGTTGCCTTCGCTTGCTTGCTTGCGGATCTTTACTCGCGTTTATGGCTAATAAAGTTTTATACTTCGGGAAAAGGAAAAAGGAATTGGACTCGTACTTTGGGAGAAGTTCACATTGTCAAGGACAAAGTTTGTTTTTTTTTACGAAGGGAATACTTAATTTTGATTGATTATATGAATTATTGGTTTGCTGAAGTGATTGGGCCTTCGCCGTCGAATGTCATCATAATGGTGACTTCGAGCATTCATGTGAGTCGCTCAGAAGTTAACGTGGTTAAGTCCAGAAAAGAGAAATTGAAAAAATTAATGTTTTGGCTTCTGAAATTATTATACAACATATTTAGAGGCCATGAAAACAAGGGCTTTGTGACCTAGAAACAACGCAGAAACGAGTTAATTCTTTAATAACTAAGGAGAATATTATGTATTCCATTAAAAATTTACATTATTCAGAAAATATCCATAAACAAATTCGCTTTTGAATGACTCATATCTGAAATCGAACGCTGTGAATAAATCATTTCATTACTCAAATAAAGAGAGATCGATACGTAGTTTTCTTCTTTTCTAGTATTTAAGACCGATATATTTTGAGTTTCTTGTGGGAAGAGTTTCTAAAAGTTTGAAGAATGATCGCCCGCGAAGAATTAATTCTTACAGATGGAAAACAGAAAAGTTTGGTGAAATGTTATACTTTGGGAGCGATCAAGCGTTTTATTCACCCTTTGCACACGAAGAAACAATATTATATGTTGGAATCTTAAATACTTCAAAATAAGAAAACTGTGTGTTGATCTTTCGTTATCCAAATACTCGAAATACTTGTTCACAACTTGTGATTCTGAGTATGAAAGTCTGATGCCTTTGATATGATGGCATACGTTTTTAAAGAGTCAGTACATTAAAATTTGGAAATATTCAAAAAACGAAGTTATAAATTTCATCTAGGTACAACTCTTTGATATAATTAATCTTCAATATCAATAGACACTCTTTTCATTGTTAATTGGTACATCATTTTCTACAGTAGCAACTACAAACGAAGAAGAAGACTGTTTCACAAATGAAACTCACAGTTCTTGGTAGTTTAACACTAACCATACGCGCTTTTTCTACCGTAACTAATTAAATAACCGGCTACAAAAAAGAGATAAACAAATTAGATAATAAATCTTTTTTAGTGGAAACAATAAGAAAAAGAAGGATGAAAATTGAAAAATCAATTAATTGGACGATATAGGTATTGATATAAAATTAATGAACAAAGGAAAACGCAGAATTTTAAATCCGGTCACTTGACCGGTTCTCGGTACGGTTAGTATTGGAACCCAAGTGAAATCAGTTATAATAATAAGCAAATAAAATCCTGAACACGCACAACTAAAACTATGTAGTATCTAATAAAAACAGCCTCAATTACTACAATAGAATATTATATGCTAATAACAGTACACGTTGATCCTTATTTGAAAAAAGAGACGAATAAAACGTAAAAGCTCGGTCGTTTGAATAATTACGATCGATATCACTGCACTCGAATAGTGTCAGTCAAGCGTGTCGATCGTATCTCGGATTGAAAAAATGTTAAAAAAAACGAGTGACTCGAGATAATGAAGGAAATGGGAGACGTTGCTCGGATCGCAGTTGCAAAATATCGGCAAACCATCCGGACACAATGCGTGCTAAATATTTATCGGCGGAGTCTCCGCGGGGACACGTTTCTTTGGGGTCGTCGAACGACCATTAGTCCTCGAAACAGTGACGATTTCTGATTGTCAGTCGTCGCACGACACGTCACGTGAATAAGAACCGTTCCGTGTATTTTTGTCGGGGTTAATAAAATTCTGCCTCGTGAACGTCCATCGTATTCCTTCCCTCTCCCCGGCTCAATGTAAGACAGTCGGCTTTTAGCGATTAATAACTGCATTCCACTGGACAGCGTTTCAATCTACGCTACTGACCAATTTGTGTATTTAACACTAAAACTACCAGACGAGCCAAATGAGCCATTCCTGATTTTTTCTTTCTGCAATTACTAAAAAGATAACAGATATTTCTCTGAGAAATTATTAAGGAAATTGATTCAGCAATAGAATTTTCGTGGCAAAGTTAAAAAGAAAAAATTATTAATTATTTGCATCAGAATTCTTATGTTATACTGTTACTGAATTATTTACACCAAAGGACATTTTTATTCGACATTAATTATCTTATAAATAATATTTGTTTTAACGCTGAATTGTAAATCGATTAACGTCTCAATAGATGCACTTTTGGAGGTACTATAGAGAAACTTGAAGAACTCAATTCAACTGCTAGGTAGTGTTAGTGTTAACACTAGAGCTGTTAATTGTGGAATTTAGTTTAAACAGACTCTCGCTTTGCGCGCAATAAAATAAAAGAAAAAGTATGTACTCGTCAAACGCAAGACGAATGCAGCTAGGATATATTTTAATGAAGAACCAAAGCAAAACAAAGAAGTATTACATGTTTATCTGAAAAAATAAAGAATTCATCACTGAAAGAATTAGTATCGTTTCAAGCTTTAAGATGACGTGTATACTCGTCAAACGCAGTTGACTAGTTAACTCTTTGCACTCAAAGCAATTGCAATAGAAACAAATTCACGTATAAATAAATGATACGTGCATAAAACAGAAAAGTTGCACAAAAATCACAACGACTATAATTCAAAAATAATAATTTAATTACATATCATGCGTAATTATATTAGTTAATTATACATTTGTTTATTTTTGCAGTATAGGAAAAGAATAATTAAATATAAATTATGTTACCACATTACATAAATATTTAGATATTTCACAGTTATATTCCTATATTCTGCTAGATTGTATTTAAAATAACCCCTATTTGCAAAGTATAAAAATTCAATGTACAAAATTCAACATCCAATGTAACAAACAGAAAGGAAACTACGTTAATATTATTAATTCAATATATTATTAGTATGTATGAAATGCTACCAATGTTGCTACGACACCTTGTTCAATATATTATTAGTTCCATTTAAATTCAATTTACAAGATTTAATTTACAAAATTTATCATTCAATGTAACAAACAAAAAAGAAACTATATCAATATTACTAACTAAATATATTATCAATCTCATATAAATTCAATTCACAGAATGCAACGATTCAGATACAGCAATGGCAAGTAGACGCTTGAAAGAAGAAAGTGGGAAATTACTCGTATAATAATTAATAGGATATACACATGTAAACCGATGTCTATTAAACGGCAACTTGAAAAGTGAGTTCTTTCATAATCGTTGTGAAACATTACTCAATCATAATGTTATATTTTAACGCAGGTAGACCCGCGGTCTCGAACATTCTTTACTCTCGCGCTACGAAGGAACTCCGTTTACTCTATCGGAAATTTGTTTTCCAGTAAAAGGCAGCTGCTCGGAGGTATTTGCACAGCCCTTAAAGCGTTAAAAGGCTGCCTCGTCTCTCGTGTAATCGAATACCCGACTCATCGAACACGCCGTATTAACGAGTTCCTCCGTGTAGCAACGGAATCAAGCGGCTCGCGTGTTCAATCGACAAAATCTTTCGAGTACGCTCCATACGTTGTGCCAACAACACTTTTTTATCAATAGAAAAAATATTGGGGGAAGAAGGGAAACGCAAACTGACCCTTGCGCCGCAGACGCTCCGCGAAACGATGTTAATTTATTTCGTATACAAATAATCATTAATTTTAAATTACTTCATTTAGCAGGATTTATTTCGAGATATAATTGGAAGTTCGTGATGTTTTAATAATATTAACGGACACTAATTCTCGTATAAATTATGTTATCTCGTTGAAACGTTAATTGTGTTTAAATAAGTAGTTATATGAGAGTAATAAATTATCAATCATATTATTGTACTATGATTTTGTCAACTATCATAATTCTATGTATTTCAAAATTTGTTAATTTTCTCATGATCAATAATCATATGGAATCGTTTAACACTAGAACTACTTTAAATAGTTAAAGAGATTCATTTCCAATTTTTCGTAGGAATTATTAGATATATAATTATAGACATATAATGGTAAGAGTGCATTGTTTAAAGTGTAATGCAACTTTTATTATAGTGCTTGTTCATAAAAATGAATTTGTTGAATAATTACTCAATAAAAAACTCTAATATGATTCGTTTTAAACTTCTTAATAGTTCTAATATTAATATAATCATTGATACCTCAAGCTAGACAAATTGATGTTTTAATGTTAGAAATATTGAAAACGCACGCAAAACTTCAGAACATTCATTACTTACTTTATAAATCGATAACATTTGTTTTTTGTTTAATGTCGTTTTCTTGTCTTGTTCTCTGAATTGGTTAAAATAAAATTTATCTGTTTCGAAATATTTACTTCCCTTGACATGATTTATTAAATAATCATCTCGTTATAACAATTAAATAAAGTTTATTTATGAAATGAAATAACTCCACTGTTGAATTTCAGCGAAACCATTTCCCCCATACAAACACATAAAATTCTCCGTCCACTCGAAAAACAATTCCTTTGCCGAATCATAAATTCCAAACCACTGTCCGCAAGAAACATTGAACGCGCTACATGCACCAAAGCCACTAAAACTTCGACGGGCGCGTCGAATCACTGTTCTCGATCGATGAAAAATGGCGTTCGTTAAAAATTTACGGCGATACACCCAATCCCGTCAAGCGGAAGATAGAAACAAGGAAAATGCAGAATAACAGAGAGCAAAAAGAGTTTACCCCTTTCGACTTTGTGCACTTCGCTATGGAGACATACGTCATTTGTTGCACGCAGGACAATATTTCCAAAAGTATCATACTACAGTGAATTACAAAATGTAAAATTTTTATTTTACTTATGTTACAATAAGGTATTTCTCAATAGTATATTAACGCTTATTTGTATCATTCTATGTGTAATTTTCTTTATGTAACAAGTGGATTTCC